ATAATATTTAAATAGTTATTAAAAAAATTATATTAAAAAAACCAATTCCAAAAATTTATGACTCACACTGTATATATTTTACATAATATTAAATTCAATAATATAACTAATTATTTAATTAAAATAAAACAGTTTTTATTTAAAGTTATAATTTGAAAGTATAACTTTTTTTAATATAATTTGAAAGTATAACTTTTTTTAATATAATTTTATTTTAAAAAGATATTAAAAATTAAGTTATTATTTCAAATAAAACAATAGAAAAAAAATATTATTTAATTTTAAAAATTATTTACTTATTTCAAAAATAGCCAAAAATAAATATTGAAACCATTATTAGTTGAGTAAAATAATAATTTTAAAAATTATAACTTGAAAAAAATTTATTATAGAAAATGTTAGTATTTTTTATTATAAATTATAAATTTAAAATTTAAAAATACTTTTATAAAGTATTTCAAATATTTTCAATTGATAAAATTTTTGAAGAAAATCAAATAGGTCAACTAATTATAAATAATAAAAAATAATTTTAATATTAATTATTAGATTAGCTTTTTAAATAATTTTTTTTTAATTGTATTTACGTAATTTAAATTTTCATATTTTATTTTTAATTTTTTAAAACCGTACTATAATAATATACAGTATGTAATAACTTTTTAAACTAGCTTAAATTTCAATATATTTTTTTGAACAAACAAACTTTTCTTTATTTTAATTTTTTTTAAAGATTCTAAACAAGAATATTAAACTTAATAGGTTTGCATAAAGAAATCTTATTTCCTTTTAACTTTATTGTGTTGCAAATATTGACATTGCAGTTGTAATTATTATTTCGAACAATCAAAAGTTTTATCTCGATAATTTTCTTCGCATATGTGACAATTTTTTTTTATAGATAAAATGAGCAAAGAATTTTTTCCCAAAATAAGACATGGGAGGTGTTTTGCGTCACCTGTGCAGCACACCGTGCAGGATCATGCGTTTTAAGAAATTCCCATATATACGTCAGTCGTGAACAACAGTGATTTTATTAAAAGTAACATTAAGACTATTAATGTAATATAAAAAAATAAATTTACATATCAAAAAGTCGTGTATTATTTAAAGACTATTTAACAAATAAGCTAGAACATATATATACTTATATACTGTATATGTGAGTGACTTTCTCAATTTGAAAACGCACGAGTAGAATCTAAATTCAAAAGTAACAATCAAAACAGGTATCCATACAGAATATCAATTATACTCGATATTTTATTCTACATAGTGCTACAATTTGATTTACAAATGAAAAGTCGTTAAATGATGTCCAAATAGCACATAAATCATTGAAACAATCACTACAGTATATAAAAAAGGGATGATGCTACCATGTTTCAGTATATACGACTTACTTGCAAACGCGATTATGTATGTTGAAAGAGGGAAAGTAAAAAGGTGGTAACGCGACTCGGGTCACATGATCAACGATCGGTCCAGGATCGCGAGAAAAGCTGACGCTAGAGATAAAATAATAATGATGTAATTGATATTAGATTAGATAATAGTGCTAAAAAGGATAATAGACCTCGGTCAAATCGAACGCCTCGATATAATCAATCACCCCTTACACTTACAAACTTTTATTTTTTGACACGTGTAGCATGTTACTTCACAAAAAAAGATACTAGTCACTGCAGATTCGCCTACATACACGAGACACGAGCTAAGGAGAACACTCATGTCTTTTTATTTTGGGAAAAAAATCTCTGCTGATATAATGTCACAATATTTTATTGTATCTATTTATTTAAAAAAAAATGTCATGTAGTGTCTTTCAGCCTATCAACTAACGTTTAACTAATTTATGCATATCAATAGTCAACGGAGAGTGGCAAAGCCTTATCTATGGATACCACTCTGCAAAACCTGTGCACGCGAGAGTTTTAGTTGCTATTTACAGCCGCAGAGGGGGTATTCTTTATGCGGCACTTGTGCGTCACCTGTGCAGATGAGTGAAATTTCTGTACTATAGTAATTTATATGTTACTAACAGATATGATACGTTCTTTTGTCCGTGCTTTATGTTTAACGTAATCAAACGTAATACACATAGTTAGTAGTTTGATAAGTTTATGTCAATGAAACTAAGAGTTAATTTGAAAGTCGAGTAATATTAATGCGCTTTAGAGTCGCATATACAATACTATATATGCCTTGCAAGTCTATATCTTTACGAAATGTCTTAACTTTTAACTTTATTTCTTGTTGATATATACTTTTATTTTGGGGAACATAGTAAATAGTGAATTGATCGCATCAGATTCCAACTTTCAATTTAAATAACGCACCAACCCCTGATTCTTACGCCAAAGCTGTTTCAGAGATGATTTCAATAAGCAGTAAGTGCACCTGCACGGGTGACGTAAGGATTTTGCACAAGTGATGCATAAAGAACACAGTAAGATATACGTAATATACACACCAGGTGATTTTCCCACAAGCTAACGCGTCAGAGCTTTTATCTCTAATATAAAATGGGTGGGGTTTTGGTTTTTTTAAAAAATAACCTTTCCTCTCTGACTCTACGGCCAAGAAATCCCTTCTTGCTTTACCCAAAGGCCTCTTTATCTTTATTCCTATCCCTTCTTGCTTTACCTAAAGGTCCCCTTATCTTTTTCGTCCCTTCCTTTTGTCTTTTGTGTGCGGTCGTCGTAAAAAAAAAAAAAAAAAAAACCCTACCCTATTTATTTCACATCTCTAGTCCATGAATATGGGCGAGTGACGCGTAGCTTTGTATTTCCGGGTTCGTCGGGACTAGTGCTTGTCGGCATACAACCTTGGTACCTTGTCTATACGTTGCGAATTTCTTTTTGCTTTACCTAGAGGCCTCCTTTTCTTTTTCGTCCCTTCCTTTTGTGTGCCGCCGTCGTAAAGAAAAAATCACTATTTCACATCTCTAGTCCATGAATATGGGCGAGTGACGCGTAGCTTTGTATTTCCGGGTTCGTCGGGACTAGTGCTTGTCGGCATACAACCTTGGTACCTTGTCTACAAGTTGCGAAAAAGTCGAAGTTTTATTTATAAACTTTTATTTTTATCGACTTTTTTTAAATTTAACTTGACTTATCATTTCCATATTCCATTTATTCGTCGAGCCCCGTGATGCCCACTAATTCTAAACGAGAGACGAGGAAAGGAAAATCAAATCGGGATAAGGCGCGCGAATTCAAAGGCAAAATTATAATCTTTTGTAAGGAGCCGCCAAACCCTACATTCGTTCGAATTTTTTTTTAGTTAAAATATAGTATTTCCTATACTATATTTTAACTTTTTTTTGTATAGATAAGTATTTTTTTATTTTCCTAAGTATTTATTTTATTATATTTTATTGATATTAATTCGTTTTTTTTTTTTTGTCTTTCTAGTAATCGGATATCGATAAAAGAAACGAAACGTTTATTCTTTAAGTTTATAGAATATTTGTAAATATACGTTGTGATAAATAAATTAATAAAAATAATAAAACGTTAAATATTTTGTTTACATATATTAATGCGTAATGTTTTAAAATGATAAAAAAATGTTCTTTATCCAAGAAAACAAATAAATCGGATATTTACGGTTTAGGCGACGCCAAAATTATTTATCTTTTTAATTTTATATTTTGGGTATTGATATGTGACTGCCGCGACTTCATTAGTCGATTATTTTGTTATTTTTTCTTTCTTATCTCTTGTATCCCGTCGAAATATGTAGAGGAAAAAGAGGAGGCAATAAATAATAAAGTAAATCCTCTTCCTCTATAATTTACTCGCCCAAATCCACAACTTTTTCTGCCCACCCGCCCCTGTAGAACTTACCCCGAACGTAACGCGAAGTCGGTAAATCCGTTAATATTTTTTTGCAATAAAAACTTTTTTAAAAATTCTTCATTATTCATATTGAAACATAAATTTGATCGTATATTTTTATTTTATCAACTAAAAAAATACAACATATTAACATATTTGATAAGGCAAAATATGATATTATAGGTCCATTAAGAATAATCGGTTATCTTGAAGCATTTCTCAATTATTTTCCCATAAATCCAAGAAGTCAAAATCCATATCCGAGGCGGAAAAGTCGACAGAACCCAAGCAAATAACATTTGGATAAATGGCCAGGAGATACAGAAGATATTCAGTTCCAATTGCATTCTAATACTTTTTGCCAGCTTAGTTGGATCGTGGAGAATGAAACGATTCAGATTAAATCTTTTGTTTGAAGTCATATTTGTGGTAATCGTACCGGGCACGATCAAGGAAACACGTATGTTATGTGGTTCGGCGACGTATCTAAGATCACGCGCGAAAGAATTTAAGGCGGACTTGGTAGAATTATACCAGCATCCCTGTGGAAAGCCAAAGAAACCTTGGATCGATGATGTGACTTGTGGGTGTACGGTGCGGTGTGATGGAAGATAATGAGTCAGAAATACAGTCAGCATTTGCCATGTTAGTTCTAGAATAATAATAATCACGCACTTGCGATTTGACCAGAATTCCGTTCTTTCATTCTTTTGTATAATGTCATGACTGTGCAAACATTGCCCGAGTAATTTACATCGATAATTTGCTTCCACAAATCTTCCCATTCCGTTGCATCCTCATCTTCCATAGTTCCCCTTGTTAAAGCTAGTATACAAACAAAAGAACTTACCAAAGATGAAAATAATTTGATATTTCGATCAATCACCACACCTACCAGCATTCGCAAATAAAAGGTCAATTTGATGTTGTTCATCAAAACTTACTAGCACCTCGATTAACTTGATGGTGTCCGAAATGTCAACACAAAGTATTTCTGATTTGGCACCCTTGTCTTCACATTGTTTTGCTACCGCATCCAAACGTTCTATTTTTTCTCGTTAGCAAAATCTTGGAAATATAACGTATATACTGTATATATTTTTAAAAAATTATTGCATACCCTTGCTACGCGCAAGTAGGCCTAAAGTTATTCCAGGTTTAGCATACTCCAATGCGATGGCTTTTCCAATTCCAGAGCTAAAGACAATCGAATAAGATAGAGAATACCCAATGTCACTTGAAATATATCCACATTACCTTGCACCTGTTATTAGTATAACCTTTGGTTCTTTTACTTCTTCGTGACACCTAAACAACAAATCCCACGCGAATAAAAATATGGAAGCTGGAATCGTTATGAAAATAAGCGTCACCAAAAGAACAAATGATTCGACCAGAGGCTTTAATAAATGAGGAATTGTAAGAATGATGGAGAGAAAAATCATTATGAAAATAAGCGTCACCAAAAGAACAAATGATTCGATCAGAGGCTTTAATAAATGGGGAATTGTAAGAATGATGGAGAGAAAAATCATTTCGATAAGTTGACTCCTCAAAAAGGGAAATTTTAGTTTTATATATTTAGTGCAATTCATGGAATGTCGTTTATCAATTTAAATAACTAACTTTAATTAAGATCGATACTACAGTATTAGGAATATTTTATGCATTAAATTAGTCTCGTTTTCAAGCGTGCTCTTGTCAATCAGATATATTTCAAGAAATCACAATAACTTAATAACTGTTAGTCCAGTAACAAAAAGAAATCATGAATAGAACATTTCTTGTGTTTCCATTGAACAAATGGTTTAATAAATTTGGAATAAAATATAGTAAAATTGCTAGTTAATAATAATAAACCTTAGATGTTATTGACCTTAACTAAGATCTTAATGATGGAAATTTTCTCATAAAGTTAAACAGATAATTTACATAGTTTTCTCATAAATAAATAAAAAAAAAAAATTTTTTTTTTGAATTAACAATGACTGGCTCAAAGGAACCACATCTCATTCTCAATGGATTTCTTCACGCGATACCATTTTCCATTTTTGACTTGCTTACGTTCATTAGAACCAGCATTAACATTATTACCACTACCACGGCCACGACCGCGACCGCGACCACGATTACCGCCACGACCACCACGATCACCGCGTTCATTTCCATATATCGAGTATTTTTCAAAGTCGACAAGATATCTTGCTTGGTTTGCGATAAGGTGAGCATAACAACCCGGGGCTGTTTGCGAAATTGACATGTCGCACCTTCAAAAGTTTAAGTAGCAAACAAATTAACAATGATTTCATCATTACTAAATATCCATGATTCAATATAAAGATTATATTATTGTTACCTTGCCGATAAGAAACACAAATTATAAGTTAACTTTTGAATCTCTTCAGCAGAGAAATCTCCTTCATTGAGTATAATACGATAATATGTTGAGCGAGCAGTTCCGCGGGGAACCGTTGCTTGGCTCAGCAGGTCTGTAATGACAGAAGACGGTTTTTTTAGCATAATAACAATAAAACAAGAAATTTATTGGAAATAGCATACTTACAGAAGCTAAACTCATTTTTCATTACAATAAACGAATCGATTATGGTACCAGTAAGGCAATTCCCGGTTTTAGGGTGCGCCTCTTCCTTATTGACCGGAACAGATCTCATATGATGTCGTTTTTGGCAAATCAACAGCGTAATTCTTGGCTCCTTTAGCCCTTTCTTTTCATAAGAGCTTTTAAGAAAACCTTTCAACAACTGAATCTCCTCCTTCATTATCTTTTCAAATTGTACTTCGGCTACACCATCGCGATAGAAAATGATATGATCCGGAAGATATCCATTCCGTATTTCAAACTCCTCAAGTAGTTCCTTGACCACTTCAACCAGTCCTTCAATAGTCTCATTTTTTAAAAAGTTATTTAACCTATAACGGGCAACATATCGTGCAGCATCAGGATCCATCGATGCGCACACCGCGGCAACACTGGGATAACCCTGTTCTTTCTCTTTTCTGCCGGGATGATATACATCAGCGCCGATTATCATTGCCTATGGATAGAGGAAAGTAGGTGGTTGAAAATTTGCTACAATAATTTAAATTTAATTATCTTAAATGATGCTTACCGTCTTATTAGACTTAAAATTAATTTCACCAGCGGCTAAAGAAGAATTGGTGCCACCCAATTTGGTGTTCAACTTGGGTACGAGTTTTTGATAAACTGATGCGTCCAAATTCGAAGCCTGAAGACATTGAGTGAGCACACCGTGCTTTAAGAGTCCGAACCTCTTAATCATCGAATATATTCCTTCTCGAGTATCGGATTTTTTGTTGAGGATACAAAGAACCAACTGTAGTCCCTTGTCTCTTCGAATTGCGGAATTTTTAACGCCAACTTCAATTGCCTATATTTTTTATAAATAAATTTATTTGTTAAGTAATGATAAATTAGTAGAAGTGCATGTATTTTCTTAGATGCTTACGTTTTCGACATCTTTGGATTCGAAATCACCGGTTTCCTTGAATTTATCAGTGATTTGCGCGTAACTAATTGCTGGTTTTTTGTTTGTTACGTTCTAAAGGGCCATTAACCTGTGAGTAACGCGATCAAGGGAAAAGACACACGTTTATTTATCTCAAATAATGACTTACAATTCCCTTTTCAGTGAGAACCTCAATGAATTTTTCTATAGCATCTTTCACATGCGACCTTGTCAACTTTTCAGGATCATCAAACACCACCACAGACCAGTTATGAAGAGATGCACCCTAAAAATAATTGCGATAATTGTGATAAATATACTTTAGGGACCATCATGATGCCTATAATTCTTTGTGAAAAATTCGTGATGATACCTTCTTGAATTTTGCAACTTCCCAGACTCCCAATTTCGGAATTATTTTTGCCTCCTTACCGTCTACTCCGCTTGCCACCATACCTGGTCCATCGATGATTCGAGCTAGGATATGGATGTGGAATGCAATTTAGAAATTTCAATAATCCATATTTGAATTTGATGATAAAAGAACATAATTTACATATAATCTCAACAAGTTTCGGGTCACTCTTCAACCCAATGGAACTGAGATATTCGTTGGATCCGTGATCGAAAATTTCTCGAAGTGAACGTTCGATGTTCTCGAATCGTGTCTTTGGATCAGTTGAAGTCACTCTTATCATTTCGCTACGTTGAGATCCAGACAAATCCTCAGCAATAAATCTTTGTCCTAAATAGTAGCGAAAGTGTATGAGATGCTTACATAAACACAAATTATTAACAAACAAGGACCAGTGGAAAATCTACAATCTCTCACCAGGAATGATCTTACAAACTTCGATTGGAAAGTACAATACTCTCCGAGCTCCTTTAGACTTTTTCACAACGACAACACAGGGAAGTTTGGGGTGTGATAAAGGTGTACCACTCGCGCGAAAATAATCGCTGACACTCAACTTTTTGCCTTCCTCATTCTCGAATTTGAGGTCGTTGGAAGACTCCATGGAGATCGATTCGATCGTATACTTCCTCATATTGTAATCGGTGAGGAATTTGATACCCTTTAAACGGTATGATAAATTACGTATATCTTTGAATGAAAGCCCCTTGTCCAAATCCTTATTCGTTCTTTCACTTTGCCTACTGGATTCTTTCAGAAACTTTGGAAGTATATCGTATAGGTTTCCGTAAGGATAAAAAGTTGTATGGCAAGTATCAATATTAATAAATAACTTGTCTAACATTATTACAATGAAAAAAAGAAAAAAGGTTAACACCATAAAAAAGATTGAAAACACGAACAGAGAATAAAATTGAACCTTACCCCATCCTGGACGCACGGATTGAAAAAATCCGTGGATAAGTTCGACTCCTTGAATCAAGAATTCTCTCATATTTGGTTGCGGTCGGAAAATTGCATTCGATTTGCTCCCAAGACTTAAGTTTTTTGGATTAAGGCGCGCTTTTGTGTTGACATATGCATTAAGCACTGTCAACGTACTCTGAATAGATTCATCCCACGGTATGTTGGAGTCCAGATTGATATCTTTGAGGTTGATCTCTCCGATATGGTTGACCGTAACGGTTAGTGTTTCACCATCGACCTTAATCTGTGGTTGATGGTTAGGTAAAAATTTATACATCATATTAATCATTTTAAATCAAATTTCAAGTAAGAAGTCTCCGATCATTACGCACATCGACTCTTTTGTAGTTCAAACCGTTCAAAATATCGGATCGAGAGTACAGGTTATCCCCATAGTAGGCAGGAAAACTATTATTACCAAACTTCTTGGCTTTTAAAATTTCCGCGATAACCATATCATGATATTTTTTTGGAGCGGGCCTGCCCTTCTTAGAGACTTGGATTGTGTAGATGTAGATTTTTGGGTAGTCGAACTAGATGAAAAGGCATCATCTCATTATTATTTGGCGAATTTTTTGCATAAATTCATTTATCCTTGTACCTTCTTGACTTCCACATAGTTGACTTTAACTTTGCATTGTTTGCCGGCAGTAGACGGTTCTGTTGGTCTCGACATGGTGAAATTGTCAATTTTTGCTTTTTTTTTTCAAAAAACCGTTTTCCTTGGGTTGAAAGGTTTTTATCAGAGATATTTGTTTTTCCGAGGGGACGAATTGTTTTCTCAATTTTTTGTTTTTTTCTGTCTTTCTTTCAAAAATCTAATTTTTCTTTTTTTTTTTTTTTGAGAAGTTATTTGCTTTCTTTGAGTTGGAAAATTTTTTGAAAAGCAGAGTCCAGAGACTTTGAAAACGAAATTAATTCCAGAATTCCAGTATTTTATTAGTAGTTTTTGCTTTGTTTCTATATATGTACACGCAGCAAGCTTTTTAATTGTTGCGCGCATCATTTTCCTTTACAGAGTTTTGTTGCTATTTTCGGCCACAAAGGGTGTGTTTTTTAATGCTTCACTCAATGATTTCAAGTGAAATTTCCGAAATACGAGAAATGCTTTATGTTAATATAAAAATAAACTATATCACATATTTAATTTACTGTAGATATATATTTTTTATCAAGTTAATCAATCAAGAATTAAAAGATTCTAATCAACGATTAGAATTAGAATTCAACAAATTAATAAAACATATTGAATATGTATATTTATCTATTATATTAATCTCTTACAAAACTTTTTTTCCATTAACGAAATAAAAGTGTTAATTTATTTATCATTTTCTTCAATTCGAAATTTTATTTTGTTTTTTGATAAACAAAATTTATGATTTTTCATAATTTCTAAAAATATTATTATATCATTAAAAAAATTTTAAAATTTATTAATTGAAATAATATTTTTTTTACACAAGATTATAAAAAATTTTCTTTATCAATAATATCATGATTTTTTTGATAAATATTCTTAATTGAAATATTGTCTCATGATAATATTCAAAATAATTATATTTATCTAAAGTTAAAAGTTTGATATTATTCAATAAATTGAAAAATGAAATATTTATTCTACGTGAAAATATAGCATAATAAATTTACTTGGTACAATTTTAATTTTTTTGATAAATTTGATTTCTCATTAAAAAATAAAATAAAATAAATATAATGATATTTTTGAAATATAATTTGATTTTTGAAAATTCGAAATTAAAAGTATAACAAATTTATAAGTTTTAAATTTCAAAGTTTTTTAAAAAATTAAGTAACCTTTTTTTTATACAATATATTGAATTAAATCGTTATATATGTAATTGTAATCAACAGAAATACAAGAAATATTGATAAATTGTATTTCCAGAAATATTTTTATTACAAAATATTTAACAATATAAATTAATTAAATTTATAAAAGAGAACTTTTTATAAAATTGTTTTATTTAAAATAATTTTTAATTTTTAATTTTGTTTCTTTTGATTACAAAATTTACTTTCAAAATTTATAATTTATTATACTTATATACTATATACTGTATATTTTTGATACCAAAGTAAAATCCGAAGATCTACTTAAACAATATAGTACGGAATTCAGCCGCCGAGTGACGCATAAAGAACACCCCTTCTGCGGCCGAAAATAACAACTAAAACTCTGCTGTGTGTGGCTCGGTTGTTGTAATGTCTCCAATTCTAGTTTTTTTTTTTTATTAAAACTTCCAATATCATTACGATAACAATAACAAAGTATATAATTGTTTCGGCACGTCATAACATGTGGCTATCGTTTACGTAATGTCATTGATGGGTAATAAAATGAGGCTTTGTTTCCAAAAACTATTATATTTTATGCTACAAATGATCTAATGTTGATGAGAATCAATCAAATCAATTTCTCTAATTACGTATAACTAAGATAGGAATCATCTTGCGGACTTATTCGCCCTCGATTAATATGTTCTAATGCGTCGGGAATACGTCTGAAGGAAATGAGAAAGTTTTTTAATAAAAAAAGTTGCATTAAGCGCACGCTTCGAGAGAATGATGAATGTATACCTGAAGAAATGTTTCTCTCCTCCTACTATATCCCACAAACCGGCGCGTATAAATAATTTCTTTTGATTTTCGCGTAATTTCACAAAGAACACATTAACGTTGCGTTTTTGGTATGCCTCGACGATTTCAAAGAGGATTTGTGCCGCACTAATTTTTTTTTTTTAAAAAAAAATCAATTGACAAACATAAAGACGTTTGGTGTCTAACTCAAAAATTTACTTACCTAGCATCCAGTCCCTCCATGGTTTCTATATCAAATATTACATTTTCAATTGGTGACATTCTAGCGTCTTCAGAAGGATGTACGCTCATGTCACCGAATTCTTCTAGTCGCCTCAATCGATCCTTCAGCTGACCAGTGTTGGCAAAATACAAGGGCTCCGCTATTCGGACCACAAGTACACCTTCCACATGATCAGCTTCATCAGGGAAGTCCTTGATGGACTTGAATTTACCCGTATCACCGATTCTACCCTGTACTTTGCGGAATCGGTATGCATGATAGAATCAATCAATATCACCATCATTCATTGATAATAACAATTTTCACTGTTGCCATAACGTTTAAATGATAAATTACCAATATGGTGATCCGTGGATATGTTGAGTGTTTGACCATAAGCACCAAGGACAACGCCACAGAAATCAAAGTTCCATATTCAATTGATATGAAGATCGTGGTGAAGAAATTTAAGAAAAGCAATGCATAGTCATTCCATGCCTTTATTTTATACATGAAATACAAGTCATGTGGAAGCTCATGCAATAGAGAAAGTGCGGCCATCCATACGACTGTCGCCAGAACAGATTTTGGTAGGTAGTAAAATAGAGGGAGAAGGAAAAATAAACAGAACATGACTAAGAAAGCGGCGATCAAACCAGCCAATTGAGTCTTTGCACCTGCCTTATCGTTTATACCGCTTCTTGCCATACCACCGTAAGCAGGAAAACATTGGAAGAAGCTGCCGATCAAGTTGGCTGCACCCAAGGCAACCAATTCACGATTTGCGCTAACAGCATAATTGTGTTTTGTCGCATATGTTTTAGTGACCACAATCGACTCCACAAATCCAACAACCGTTATTAAAACCGCTGCCTCAAAACAGTCCTTATAGTAACTTATGTTAACAGCGGGAATTTGGAATCTTGGAAATCCGCCTCCTTTTATATTTCCAAGAATGGTTAGGCCATCATCGTACCATTTAAATATCGAACATAGAATGGTAGAGATAATCACGCAGGTGAGAATCTCGGGAACAAATTGGATCCAAACGTAACGCTTTGAAAGTTTTGATTTCAGTGATTCAGAAACCAGAAGGAATGCCAAACTTGAGAATGATACAGTTGCTGTGAGCTTATGTGCATTATGAAGATGTGTGAATATGTAAGTGATCTTTTCAACCGCAGATGATGAGTGACCGATGTCATCTCGTGCAGCATCCTCGTCTAACTTTAACATAATAAACAATTGTTCGATCATAATAACAATCGCCACGGCAGAAATAAACCCTCGTAACAGAGCTCGTGATAAGACCGAGTCTATAAATCCTAGTCGAATCAGTCCAAGTATCAATGTTAAGATTCCCGAAAAAAACATGATCAGCCCGGCTGTAGCAATCGCCGTATCGGGATCATCTTCTTTGCCAGCTTCTATTTGTTGTTGTACCACTGATGAACCTACGAGCATGGCAACGAGCGCCTCGGGACCGATGATCAATTGTCTAGTGGATTACGTAAAATTGATTTGACGATCGTAGATCGATGAGCCGATAAAAAAGTTACCCAATTTACAATTAAAAAATATTTCGGTAAAATACCTCGAAGTTCCAAGGAAAGCATATATGAAACCAGGTATAACAATAGTGTACAAGCCGTGAACCTCTGGTAACTTTGCCAAAGCAGAGTAGGATAATCCGGAAGGCAGTAGAATAGCTGTCACGGTTAAGCCGGCCAAGAAGTCACCCCAGAATGTTTCTAGAGAGTAAGTTGGGAGCCAACTGAAGACCGGGACATAGTATCTGAGTCGAGTCCTGAAAACCGTCCAGGGGTCTTGCTTACCACTGAAAGTAGAAGGCACTGATAGAATCAAAGGTTTATAAGGATATTTGAAATTTTCACGTTGATTATAAAACAAAACAAAGAGATGAAAAAATTAACATACGTAGCAAGTCATTTCTACTTACACTTCTTGTCGTGCTAAGTGGTGTTGTTTCCGATAGTTGATCGCTGTCTTCGTCGGTTCCATATCGGCTATCTATTTTGTTCGAAGGATCGATAACAAAAAAAGTTAGGATTCGCCTAAAAAACAATGGCGCAATACGAAAATCCAAAAAAATTTTACCAAGTTCAATGGGAATTGACAAGGTAGGCGGGGAATTCGACATCTCTTAAGTGTGAATATCCTTTGAAATGAACTCGACTTTATATATATAAACTCGGTTGTCAAATTTGCCTGATAAGAAAAATTTTGAGTGTTACGTTGTGCGATGCTTTTTGGGAAAAAGAACGTCCATAATCACAGGTGAAATCTGGCGGTGGGTTATGGAGAAATTGCATGCACTAATTTGACCAATTGATAGTTGTCAGGTATTAAAATTTTAGATAAACGCCCTTATTTAATGAGTATTTAAATGACTATTTCCAAAAAAAAAAAAACAATCGATTCCCACGGTCGTTTTTAAATTAATAACAAAGCACATGAAAATACCCGATGAAAGTACAATAGGTTTCGTGGAATGTGCATTCAGGTTATATGCTGAGTATGGTAAGATTTTTAAGGGCCGTTGTAACCGTAAGAACGGGGACGGTTACACGAATGTACCAGAAGCACTAGAGATACCAGATCTCGTTATACATGCTTTTTAAACAGGTAATTCCGAATCAGGGTACATCGAAACCAACATGTTCATGTAAACATTACGCTATTTGTTAGCGATATGCCCTGATAATTATCTGGCTGTAATCTCTGATGTAATTCTGAACCGTAATTAAATAAGAATATAGCATAATGAATTTTTCTTTTTTTGAATAAATTACATTATTAAAATAAAATTCGCTTTAAAAAAATTTTCAAATTTGTTAATAAACGTGTGCATAAAAATAATTCTAAAAATAATTAATTCTAAACAATAAAATAATATTTGATATTTCATTGCATACGATATCTCGGGTATTAATTATTCCACTAGAAAAATTACTTAGGAAAGAAAAATACTATAAAAAAAATCAGAAAGAATACTATTCAAGAGAACGATAATAACAAAAAATATTATCAATTAAAATATTGATTAATTACAATATAATTAAAACTATTGATTGTTTAAAAATATTAATCAAATATTTATTTAAATACAACATAAATTTAAAATTATATAATATTATTATATAAATATAGTGTGGATCAAAAATAATTGAATAACATATTAATTTTTATTTTTGTAATATTTCAATAACTAATTGATAAAATAACATAAAAATTTATATCAATATATTAATGAATGTTAAAAATATGTTTACTTAATAAAGTTTTTAAAATACATTATTAAAATTTTCTTGAAATTTAATTAAAAAAAATTTTTTTAAAAAAAATTAATTTTAGTTATATTATAAAATAGAAATAATTAAAATTATTTTAATGTATAGATTTGTTAAATAAAAGTTATAATAATAACAATGTAATTATTATTATTATTTTATTAAATACAAAAAAATTATTTAATAATTAACTTAATTTAAAATTAGACCTGTGGGTCTATCGTGTACAGGATCGCCTACCTCTCGACC